GCTATAAAGATGTTGAGTGGGAGTTTGGTAGTTGAGTACGAGGCTGTGAGGAGCTATATAGCTGAAATGGTCAAACGGGACAGACATGGGAGGTTCATATTGGAGGTGGATCCACATCCCAGTCAAGAGAAGGTGTTTTTCAAGAGGCTGTACATAGGATTCTCTAACCTGAAAGAAGGTTTTCTCAGGGGCTGCAGGCCAATGTTTGGTTTAGATGGGTGTTTTTTGAAGGGGGAAGTGAAAGGGATGCTTCTAACTGCTGTGGGTAAAGATGGGAATAATCAGATGTATCCTATTGCATGGGCTGTAGTGGAGGGTGAGAATGCAGATTCTTGGAGGTGGTTCTTGAACACTTTGTCCCAGGATTTAGGCATACTAGATGGAAGAGGTTTTAGTGTCATTTCTGACCAGCAGAAGGTGAGTGTGTTTCCTCATCATTTATGCTTTACACTTTACACTTCTAACTGTTTAATTTCTAACTGTTTTACGCTTCTAACTGTTTACTTTCTAACTGTTTCCATTGCTAGGGACTTGTTGAAGCTCTACGTGATATCCTACCTGAAGCTGAGCATAGAAAATGTGCTAGGCATGTTTATGCAAACTGGAAGGCAAAAAATAAAACAGATGCTGTGAGGAAAACCTTTTGGAAGGCGGTCTACTCATGTAATGAAGTAGATTGGAAGGCGGCTTGTGCAGAATTGCAGGCCATAGAAGCAGCAGATCCATCCACAACACCCTACACAGACTTCATGGATCAAGAGCCTAGGTATTTCTGTCGAGCATTCCTATCCCCTATTCCCAAATGTGACTCTGTGGAATCCAATATATGTGAAACTTGGAACGGATCCATAATTAAGTATAGGGGAATGAGGCTGATTGACATGCTTGAGGGTATTAGGGGGTATTTAATGGATAGGTTTGTATTGAAGTACAAAATGCACTATGATAACCCTGATCAGCTATGTCCAAGAATTAGGAAGAGAATTGAGAAGGAGAAGGCTATTGCTAGATTGTGCACTTCTAGGCAAACTTTAAATGACAAGTGTGAGGTTAAGATGGGAAGTCGAGGGTACATTGTCGACCTCAACGATCGTAGTTGTAGTTGTGGGTATTGGGCTCTGAGTGGATTACCCTGTTGCCATGCTGTTTCAGCAATCTCACATCTTAGGAAAGACATTGATTCGTATGTTAGTCAATGGTACTGGAGTCATGTTGTAGTGGATGCATACAAGGAAGGCATTCCTTGTTTCGATGGGAGACAAGCATGGCCAGAGGCCTCTGGCTACCCTGTGCTCCCTCCAAAACAAAGAGCTATGCCTGGAAGGCCTAAAAAAAATAGGAGGAAAGCAGCACATGAGTTTGAGGTTCGACCTCAAACGCATGGAGTGGGTGAGGAAGTCTCAAAAAGGGGAACCCTAATCCATTGTGGCAAGTGTGGTGCAGAGGGCCATAATGCACGAACTTGCAAGTCTCCCACAGTCGTTGAAGCACCAAGAACTGTAAGTACACTTTAGTTGTTTTCTTCCTAAGTGTTTGTGGTAGTAATTTTCCATTGCTAACTAGTTGTTTTCTATATTCTCAGAGGAGCAGGAGCCTTCCTAGAGCGAGGGAGGTCACACAACAACCTGCCTCAGCAACTGGAAAGAGGACAAGAGTGTCCCATTGCAGCAAATGTGGCTCTGCCACACATAATGCTAGGACATGTCCCCTTAATCAAGGGGCTGGAATTCAGGTAAGCCATTCTAAGTTGAGTGTTTTAAGAGTGTGAGATGCAATGATGCAATGATTCTGATGTGTTGTATCATTGTAGCAAGTTAGGCTAAATGTGGATGATCGAAGAACCATAGAACGTGAGATGAGGGTAGCAACAAGAGGGATAGGAGTCTATGTAGATGAAACTACTGGTAACCAGTATGTGAGGGTAAGTTCCAGATTCATCATAATTATCCCTTTGGAAGAAATTTGTGTCTAAATTTGTACGTTTTCTTTTCAGCTAAATGGAGCACGTGGACGTGCAGTGAATGTGGCTCAACCTACAGTGGTAGACGTCCAGGGAAGTCAGCCCCTAGCAACACAACCAGAGAATTGATGAAAATAGACAGCCCTCAGCCCCCAGTAATGACCTCTGATGAGGGTATTTTGGAAGTCGATTTAGTTATAGACAACTTTTGTTATGTATTAGGGGATGCTTGTATTAGGGGACAACTTTTGCTATGTATTAGGGGATGACTTTGTTCCAGACATTCTACTTTCAAAAATTAGGAATGCTATGTATTAGGGAATGACTCATGTAGTATTATTAGGGGATGCTTGTAATATGTACTTTGTTCGAAACTACTTTGTTCCAGACTAATTGGTTTAAGACTACTTGGTCCATTTCAATATCAACTTTCATTGCAGTCACAGCATTCAAATACTTGTTCCATTATACAAAAGCACATTACACAGAGTGCTTAGTCCATTTCAAATACATTCAAAACAATGACCCTGCTGTTACACAGACTACTTCCCCCCATCCTCTACAAACAAGTTTGGTTCCTCCACAAGTTTCGTCCTGTAAGCAATTTCTGCTTCTCTTGCTGATTGACGATGGTTTCTTTATACTCCGGGATGCAGTTGGATTGTGCTTGTATTTTGCCTCCTCACCAAGCGTCTTCTTTTATATGTATGCACAACCTTGATGTACAGTCCAAGCTTTTGAATTTTAACTTTTATGCTTTTTCAATTTTATTGAGTTGGATTGTGCTTGTATTTTACTACCAACATGTTTGGATATGTAAAATTCCGTAAGAAATGGAAGTGGAATACCATTTCCAATTTTGGGTTTTATAAAATTCTATTTTCAATTCTTGTGTTTGCTACGAAAATGAATAGTAATTATAGCAACAATTAATAATGCAATATATTTGTTTTATTCTGAGATAAAATTAGTATTATTAAGCCGCAAGTAAGTACTTAAGGGGTCCAGTGGTATACTGGCGGGTGCACCGTAATAGTTTACATCCCCGTTTTCCCTGTTGTCCACCCTCGGCTAATAACCCGCCGCTTTTCCTCCGATGTCTGTCTGGCGATTAGGCGAGTAATTAAGCTTAGTGCACCTTCAACCCCTCTTTTGAAGCGATTTCCCTTTCTGTGTTTTTTGCATCAACTAGGAGTGGTGGAAATCAACATGCAGCGTTCATTCTATTACAGTTAACAAAAGATGAATATTGAGTATTCGAGCCCAATATTTTGACATTCTTCCATTCAATTTCTTCGAGTAATAGAGACGCAAGAAAATCTATTAACTCTCCCTATCTCTCCGACTCTGCAATGATGTTGGAAATTCTCCTCTGATGCTCTGAAATCACACATGCAAAGAAGAGCTTATTGTGAGTGTCGATTTCTTAGTATCCTTTGGAGTAGAGAGTAGAGACAATTTGAGAGTAATGACTCATATAAAACATGTTTTCCACTCCCGCAATCTACCTGGTGGCCACCCACGAGCCTTTTCTCCCTTCCTCATCTAGATCGATGAAGCAAGTTGCGGTGTTGGAAACACAAGCAATGATGAAATCGAACTGATAACAGTAGTACAGTCAGCCGCTGCTCAACCGATCATGCTCGCAAACTGTCCACAAGTTCATCGATTTCTCCTCAAATGACCACAGGCCCACTGAATTTTTCACATATAGAAGAAGCAGATCAAAGTCAGAGATGGCTAGAGGAAATATTTAGTGCGATATATGCATCTTTCCATTCTCATTTTTATGTCCATAAACCACAAATGTACGCATGAGTGCCACAGGTTTACGTTGAAAACCAAAAAGTTCCACATGCCCACATCTAATATATTTTTTTAAGTGATATTTGCCTTATTAACTCTCCTTCACTTCACCAAGGGCCCAAGGCTCATGCAATTAATATATATAATATTTTATTTTTAATTATAATATTTTATTTTTATGGTTAGTCTTTTACTCATTTACTCTTGGTGCTATAATTTGAGGTTTTATCATTTTGTTTGTTGAATTAATCTATGTAGTTTCAGTTATTTCTTTGGGTTAGGTTTTGTATTTAGTTAGGCGTGGGTAACAAATCATACCATACGATCATGAATTGAATAAATGTAAAATGTTGTCATGTTTGACGGGGAAATGTTGGCGCCTATAAATGAGCATTCAAATCCAGTAATTAGGCGCAAACAGTGTAGAGAAAAGATCATGAGCATCAACAGGCAAACTGGTGGAAACTTGATTACATATTTTTATTGAAATAGCGAACATTCGTCTTAGATATTTTTGAAATAAGTTTTTATTTGTAACATGTCATAAACTACACAAGTCCATTCAATCCTCCAATTAAACTCACAAATCGAGATCAAATTAGAGGATGGAACTATAAAAGAATACAAATTAAAACAATATTTAAACCATTCAAATTCCACTATATGTGATAATAAGCTTTCCTTATGTGATTTCAATTTTAAGATATAAAAACTAATTTCATTTTTATTATATACTATAAATAATATAATATATTTTGAATAAAACGTTCCATGTCAATCAAATGACAGATCAATATTAATAAAATCGTCACTTAACATGCAACAAATGTCATTTGCTTTGGTACGTATAAGCCATTCATGATTCATCTAACTTATTATAAATTTTTAATTAACAACTATGTATCAAACGAGTACATGGATATATATTCTTTAAAAAATACTTAAAGTCCTTCACAATCACAAAGACAAATGATATTTTTCAAAAAGATAAAAAAATTCAAAAAATTATATGGCAATCGAAATCAAACAATAATCAAAGTATTGATTTATTCAAACTCAATCAAATATAACTCCATTCGATATTCCTCATTACCCGCTGCAAAATGCGGGTCAATTATCTAGTATGAATGAAAGAGAATATAGAAATGGATCAAATTCCTGAGTTCTTATTTCCTATCCAAACCGGATGTACAAGTGTAGATAAATCTCCTCCTTCAATTATGTGGTACTGGATTTAGTTTTTGCAAAATCATAGCGTATGCAATCTAATCGGAAAATTTGTCTAACGATTTGGCATTAAATGGTTGAACAACATTTAAATTATACTTTAAATACAATATATGTTGTCACTAATTTTTCCAATATAATCTCTGATATATTTTTACAATCCTTGAGGCTACCAATACTAAATGTGTGAAAATCTATTTGCCAAAGTAAGAGCCAGAAAAAGCTCCAGAAATGGCAGTCTGCTTAATTGAAGCCTCTGATTCTGTCTCCCGTCGTTTCCAGTTCGAACTCGACGGTTACCTCTCCGTGAGTGCTCCCTTTTTCCCGTTTTATGATGTTCTCTTAAAATTCCCTATAGCTAAAGTCTCTGGTGCAGTTTCGCAAACACTTGGCATGCGCAGTCGTTCTACCTGCAGTCTTATCCATAACCAATCGTGCCTTGCGTGAATAACTGCAATGTAGCTTTTGTTTCTTGCGTTTGAATTCTGTTCAAAGGAAAAAGTCATGGTGCACCTGCATTTTCTTGCTAAGCGCAAATGAACTATGGAAGTTATGCATGAACGTAATGCTAATAACTTCCCACTAGATTAGCAGTTGTTAAAAACCCTAGATGTTGTCGGAGTAAAGGATCATCACAAGGTTGTTCTAGTGCGTTGTAGTTTCTTATCCAAGACTTGTATCATTGGATGATACCATGTGAATCGCTAGAAATAGGTACTCTATGGCTAACCCAATAACGAGAGCTTCACAAGGGGACTAGAGCAGGCTACAATGGACGCTAGATGAATAGTAAATATGCTTGGAATTAGAGATGTCCAGAGCATCCCTTTGGCAAGGTTGCCATATGCTTTTCGTTCTTTTAATTTATTCTGTTGACCTATTTTCTACTAGTTGAAAGCTTGTCTACTTCAGATCAGATTCAACTGTATTATTTTTTTGCTGTCGTTCCTCCACATTCTTACTTCTTTGCAGTCCCTTCTGTTTGCTGCAGGGTTGCGACTTACACCAGCTCAGGAAACTGCCGTGAGTTGGGTAAGTTTTCTTTTACCTCGTGATCACCAGTTGTTTGTCTCTAATACGGTTTGTTATTCAAGATGTACTCTTCATTTCATTCATGTAGATATTAAAGGATGGGATGCAACATGTAGGAAAGCTAATATGTAGCGATTTTGGGTGCTAGAATGGACTCTGAGCCATAACGTTGGAGAATACTGGGTTCTCTTTCTTTTCTCTTTAACCTTAAGTTTTATTTCTGCAAACACCCCTTCCCCTTGTTCATGGATTTGAGAAGATTAGTGTAAATAACAATGTTGTCTTTGCAGCTGATCTGCTGTATGATTTGGGCAGCGGATTGGAAGTTCTTTCTCCATTGTGCCCTAGTCTCTTTCTTGAGGTGGCTGGCCTTGGCAATTTTACTAAGGTATATGCTGGTTGTTGACTACTCACATCTGGACAAAGTTATCATGTGCAGATGTGCTTAGCTTCGGGTTGTACTTAGTTCATTGCTATTGAGAAACGCTCATGCGTTTCACCCGTATCTCTGCAGTCCTTTTCTCTTACACATGTCTTGATTATAGCTTGACTATTCCTTGGATTTGAAAGGGAATGGCAGTAGTTGCAGCAAAGGCAACTAGATGTGTTAGGAATGGGAGTAGGGATCCAATTAGCACCTACCGTTTGTTCCACTGTGCAGGGGAAAGTTAGCAAGAAAATAAGAACAAATTCATGGATAGCAAACCCAGCAAGATTTAACATAAAGAAATAATCACCAAAACCATATAATAATTTTAGCGTTGCATCCTTAGGAAGTAAAATTAAGGAGAAGCACATATTGTACTTAGAAGCTAAACATATACAGCCTCACAAGGGCCATATGTTGGCCGAAACAGATGTTTTTCTTCACTTGACTGTTTAACTTGGCTGCAAATTGCAAGTTTAAGAGCACATCTCCAAGATTGTCTCACTTTGCAGTTTCATGAGCCTGACTTCTTACTTAGTTTTGTTGGCACAAAATTCGGCATTATGCTATACAAACAAAGATAAGAACTTTTAGTTAGATTCTGCCAATCTGCAGGAAGAAAGTGAGAATGGAAGAAAGTGTAGACTCTGAAACCAAAGCTTTGGTTTCAAACCTAGTGAAAAAATCCTTTGAATCAAGTGTGCTGCTTGAATAACCCGGAATGATCCTTTTCCTCGACAGAGCATCGTGCAACTGCAACCCATAAAAACTTTTATACTCGTAAGGTTTTCTCGTCTAATCTTCTTTAAGCAATGAAGAACTAGTGTGCATTCCACCTTTATTTGTTTATCAAGTTGCATTGGTTTGAGTAGCTTTGCTTGGGGACAAGCAAACGCCTAAGTGTGGGGGAGTTTGATAACACCTAAATTATTGTTATTTACTCTTCATATTTAGGTTTATTTCGGGCTAATTCATGTGCATAATCGTTTGAATAGCGTCGATTGCATCCCTATTTTGTTCCTGTTTGATTATGATGTGATCATGGAATAGAAAAGGAGATCACAACCGAGAAAGTGGACGACGAACCTAAGGAGAAGATCGCGGCTTGAGAGTCCAAAATAGCGGCAGCGAATCTTGAGGCTTCAGGCGCAAACTTCGTGAAAATATCATCCAAGGAGAAACGGAGGGTTTCCCCAATCGTGTCGCGGGCTACGTTGATTATGATTGTGAAAATAGATCGCGGTCGTGATCTCACACCCAGAGCTCGCGATCTTGCGCGTGTCTATTGAGCTCTATAATTAGGGAACTTCTCCCCCTTTTGAAGATGATTTTTTGCATATTTCTAATTTTAGAGAGAGAATAGAAAGAGAAGTTGGAGGAAGGAGAAGAAGAGAAGGAGAAGAAGTGGAGGAGAGCTTGAAGAAGGATTCACATCACTTGAAGACCCTTTCTTCGTGATTTCTTCTCCTCTTTGATTTCGTCTACTTTGGGTGTGGAGTTTTAGGGTTACACGGGTATGCGCCATCAAGCAAATTAGGTTAGATGAATGAATAGGATGTTATGGTAATCGTGGCGACTGTACCCTTGCCATAGGAATGTCTTTCTAGATATAATACAAGATGAAACCTCGATGTGGACGGTGGATAGTACCCATTGAAATGAGTTATTTTCTTAATGCCCCACATACGATAGCCTAGCTCGAGGTGACTGAATGAGTTTAGGGGAGGCATACTCGGAGGCGTATGGATAACCACGAAAGCCCACGAAAAAGAGCTCACTCACTACATTCAACAAACCCTACTATTCTAGACATTGCATAGTAGACCTAGGCTAGGGCGAGGGAATACCCCAAGTACCTCTTCTTATCTATTGATCTTTAGTTTAGGAATCATCAACTGCTCACCTGCCAAACAACAGGTTGACTAGATAGCCTAGGATACTATGATTCTTGAAATACGACCGAGCCGAGCCGCTTCACTGCATCCCTAGGTAAGTTATCCTTGTTAGGATTAATTAGTGTGTGCACTTCAACTTCATATAAATTCAAAGCTCGATCTTAAGTGATCCGTTTAGTAAATCATAAGATTAAAATTATTTACCCCTCCCTCTTGTTGAATATATATTCCACTTTATATAATGAAACTCTATTATGTAACGACAAGACAAGAAATGGTAAAAAGAAAATAGAGATAATAATCTCCTACAAATGAATGAATAAAGCATGGGGTAAATGACACATTTGGTCACTGAGATTATTAAATTGTGTCATGTTTAGTCACTAGAAAAAATTAATATCAATTTTGGTCACTCGAATTACCGAAACTGGTCAAATTTAGTCACTCTCCCGTCAGTTTCCGTCCAACTCCATTAATGTAGTTGGACGGAAACTTTTGGGAGAGTGACTAAATGTGACATGTTTCAGTAATACGAGTGACTAAATGTGACATTTTTCAATAATTCGAGTGACCGGAGTTGGACAGAGGCTACAGAAGAGTGACCAAATGTGACCTGTGTCAATAATTCGAGTGACCAAAATTGATATTAAATTTTTCTAGTGACTAAATATGACACTATTTAGTAATCTCAGTGACCAAATGTGTCATTTACCCATAAAGCATGGCACCTTGTCTTTTGTCCTATTAAACAAGGACGATAATGTTTAAAGGAAGAAAAAAAAAACACAAACACACTAGTATTAGGAGAGTAGTATAGCACCATGCTTTTGTCATGGTTTCACCCCAAAAGAAAGAAATATGTGCATATAGTACAGGCCCCACTCCGAGGCCGCCTCCTCACCTCGCCCCCAGCCCAGCCTTTTATCTTTTAACCACCAAACCCTTGTCCCCATTCTCATCATTTTTAATTTTTATCACACACTTGCACAGCAGAAGCACATGTAAAGCAAGCAGAGAGATACGAAACAGAGAGCACATCCTTCCTTGTATTGCTCTGCTCTGCTCTTCTCTGCTCTGCTCTGTGTTGTGAAGGTGGTGAAGCAAGCTAGGGAGAGCGAAGATGGTTCGAGCGCCATGCTGCGAGAAGATGGGGCTGAAGAAGGGGCCATGGAGCGGAGAGGAAGACCAGATTCTGGTCAATTACATTCACCTCCACGGCCACGGCAACTGGCGCGCCCTCCCCAAGCTCGCCGGTAACCCCATTTCCTCTTCTTCTTCTCCTCCTCCTTGTTGTTGTTGTTGTTGAGGGATTTTGAGCAGTGAAGATGGATGATGATTGCAGGGCTGTTGAGGTGCGGCAAGAGCTGCAGGCTCCGGTGGACCAATTACTTGAGGCCGGACATCAAACGCGGCAACTTCTCCCTTCAAGAGGAACACACCATCCTTGAACTGCACAACCTCTTGGGCAACAGGTCATTCATTTTGCTTCTTCTTTTTGGTTGCTTAGTGGATCGGTTGAAATTGAAAACGTTTTATTCAATGAATATAATGGATGGTCAAGTTCAAACCTGAATTGCTTGCTCTGCCCTGCTGGTGGGAACTAATGAATAATGATGGTAGCAAGGAAACGTAGAGGATAATCTATGTAACCACAATTCAAGCTAGGCTAGCGTTGGAAACCCAACACTACTACTACTCATAATCGGGCCATCAAAATTGAATTGATCCTTTATTCTCTATTATAAAATAATAAAGTATTCCGTTGGCAGCCGAGTCAATTTTACTATACTGGCCGTGATCTGGATCATCCAATCCCACGGCCGGAGATGGATACTTTTTTTTTCAAATAAAAAAAAAATTATACACATGAGCCTTTTGGCATTCAGAGATTGATTTATTTTAAAAAAACAAAATATCTGAGGAGTGCTGCTGAGTGCAGAGTGTGAGTGTGCAGTGGTATCCTAATCTCCAAGATTGTGACTGACCGGTTTCATCAACTTGGTTGGGGGCTAGCTAAGCTAACAGGTTGTTTGCTTGTTAGATTTGAAAAATGAGGGTTTTGGCCAACCAAAATCTTGGGATTTATGTTGGATTTATTGGATTATGGATTTGAAGAGTCTAATGTTTGCATGATAGATTTGATGATGGATTTATTAAATAAATAACTAAGCATCAAGGATTTGCAAATCCCAAATCAATATGTGGGATTTACAAGTCCGTGAGGTCCACGGATTTGATTCCAAAATAAAGACCAAATCCGTGGATCACACGGATTTAGCACCCTTCAACAAACAATAGACTTATGTTAAATCCATCAAGCTTGGGATTTGGGTACCAAATCCAACAAGCAAACGACCCTAAAGCTAGCAAGTGTGTGTGAATTTTCCAAGGTTGATGGGAATCAAAATCAATGACCTCCCCCTCCCTCCCTCCGGACCGGCATCACTCATTCATTAATATTCGGATTCCATTTCCCCATCCCAAATTATTATATTTATAATTATATGTGTGTGGATCAGCCCTACTTGCCTACCTCACACTTCCAAACAAAACTGCACATTATTACTTATTCCTCCCCGCTCACGTGACAACATATGTGTACAAACATTTATATATTATTATTCTGGGTAAATGACACATTTGGTCACTGAGATTACTAAATTGTGTCATGTATAGTCACTAGAAAAAATTAATATCAATTTTGGTCACTCAAATTACCGAAACTGGTCAAATTTAGTCACTCTCCCGTCAGTTTCTGTCCAACTCCATTAATGTAGTTTGACGGAAACTTTTGGGAGAGTGACTAAATGTGACATGTTTCAGTAATCCGAGTGACTAAATGTGACATTTTTCAATAATTCGAGTGACCGGAGTTGGACAGAGACTATAGAAGAGTGACCAAATGTGACCTGTGTCAGTAATTCGAGTGACCAAAATTGATATTACATTTTTCTAGTGACCAAATATGACATGATTTAGTAATCTCAGTGACCAAATGTGTCATTTACCCTTATTATTCTTCTTCTTAATGAACCACTCTAAAAGTTACCATTGATTGGCAGTATTTAAGAAGGGTAATGGTAAGATCGATAAACTTGATTTTATGTGTGAGCATATTTAAAGAATTTAAACTAAAATGACATTATTTTTTTAGTTTTTGAATCGAATGGTATCTTCTTCATTGTACAGACGTAACTTGTTGTCACACTTCGTATCGCATTTATTTTGAACTCAAATTTTGCACAGAGGAAACGAGTTCATCGTTACCAGATATACCACCTTGTTATAGTGTTCTTAGGCTCGTAGCTAGTGGTAGCTAGACGGTGATTAAAAGGTTGTAAATGGCGATTACTATATTTCTTCTATAATATATACAACTATTCCACACTGTGGTACCCTTTCATACCACCATTTTATAATCTTATGTACTACCATACATTACCGATTTGGTATTGGCTAGTAATATTTGTCTCATTACGATATGACAGATGGTCGACGATAGCGGCAAAATTACCTGGCCGAACGGACAACGAGATTAAAAATGTGTGGCACACTCACTTGAAGAAGAGGGCCGCCGCCAACCACGACGACAGCAATAATAATAATAATCATCAACAACAACAGCCTACTACTAAGAAGCGACGATCCGCCTCCAAAAAATCCAAGACCGCCAGCGTTAAGGACGGTCAACAAACCAAACCGCCGGCGGCGGCGGAGGAGGCAGAGGCGAAGGAGGAATTAAAGCCATCATCTCCAGGCGTGGCTCCTCCGCCTGCTTCGCTGCTGCGGCAGTACTCCAGCGACGACGTGTCCTCCCTGACGACGGGGGACAACGGTGGGGCCCAAAGCAACGACGCGAAGCCCGATGATTTTTCTTCCACGGAGGAGATGGACGAGAGTTTTTGGTCGGAGGTTCTGTCGGCGGACAGCTCTACCTCGACCGACCACGATTTCCCGGCGGCGGAACTTGGATCCGGGTTATACGATGATCCGTTGGCTTCGTTTGTGAGTAGTGAGGGTGATGGGCCGGGAAGTGGTGAGGAGGCGGCGGCGGCGGCGGCGGCGGCAGGCCTGGCCCACTCGATTGTGGACTATACTAGCATGGACTTTTGGTACAACCTTTTGACCGGTGACAACAATAAGGAGTTATCTGAACTCCCACCCATTTGAGATATCTTTTGTTTGTTTTTTCTTCTTCTTAGACTTTAGGGAGGAAGGGAGGGTATGATTAGTGTTTAGTGAGTTCTTCCCTTTCTTGGGGCCGGTCGCGATCCCGATCTGATCATGTTTGATTTTACGTTTTTTTAGGTTCGATCAGTTCTCAGTTGTGATTTTGATGTTTAATTTGTCGACAAATAATTCAAGAGTAACAAAAGGTGAACCATCTGAAGGATAAATTTACAAACTTTTAACAAAGCCCAATCTCATTTCTTGTCACCTTTGCAATATTGAACTTTTTATTGCCGATGGATAGCTTAAACATGGGCTGTTTAATGCGAGTCATTTACTAGTTCAACTTGTCACTCAGGTTTTCATATAAATGAAACGATGCAATCGAAATGCGACTTTGTAATTCAGTTATTCAAATTCAGTTGTGCCACATACCACTTAACAATTTTTTAGGTGCTTCTAGCTACTCTCACTAGCATAAGCTGCTGTCAAATAAATCGAGTAACATGAGCTATGCTCTTGCTATCATTTTCATCCAAATGGAATGAGCAGAATTCTGCTAGATTGACCCGAAGTGGGTAGTGCACTAATCCAATGGTGTCAAACCAGTTTAAGTTGTTGAGTCTGTTAAGCAAGTGGTTAGAAATTTAATGGTCTGTTGGAATCCAAGCTATTTGAATTAATTATTATCCATAAAATAACATCTAATTTGATATATTCTAGAACGAAAAATATCTATATAGAGATGGTATGAAAAATATACCATGTGGGTACAAATTATACACCAAACCGCATAATAATAATAATATACAACATTGCAAACTTTTTTGGCCGAAACGTATCAAAACATATATTATTCTATAGACCATAATTAATTCTTTTTTACCGAGCTAAAATGAAAATTTCAAAATATCCAATTGAAAATTAATGTATTAAAAAAGTCAACTTGATCCCAATCATTTTCTCAGTGAAAGGGCTCGAGATTGGTTATAAATTTTGCTTAATTTTGGGGTTGTGCATTTTGTATCTAACTTAAGATTGTCAATCTTTAGGCAGTACTCCCTCTAATAACGTGACCAGATGTCGCCACATATGAAAGAAATCACATCCATTTCGGACTCCACTACTCTCTTTGACAACAACCAAACCAACCCAACCATCTCTCATCTTCTTAGATCCCATGCAACCAAATCCACCACAAACATTGAAGAACCAGTCATCAATTCTAATACTTCTGTTGTATATATCTAACACTTTTTTGGATAGAACGCTATATTTGTCATTATGCAAAAATAGCTATATTTGTCATTAATATCAAAGTTTTGACTATATGAATGTATTTTTTAAATATGACGTAGCTAACCGGTGACATGACATGGCTATCTGAAACTAACGTGGCACTGGCATCGATATCAACTCGTTAACAATTTGAATGCTTATGGCTGTATATGTCTCACAAAAACTTTCAAATATGACTATATTTGTCATAATTTGAAAACTCAGATTATAATTATTGATTGTCAGAAAGGCCAATGTTATAGTATATGATTGTATTTTGTCTGCCACAAAATTTGACTCATCATACTACATAAACAGTCATTCTATAATAGCAAGTTTGTCAGGATTAAGTATTTCTACGACGACAATGTATGAGTTGGCAAATTTTCTTTATCATCCTCAGTTGCCAGAAGATGTACAAAGAATGTTGGATCCAAGTTCATGCAGTGGTTGCAGCATCCGCGCCAAGAAAGAACTGCTCGGCCGAAATCGGTTTGGTTTTGAATCGATAGTATACTTTCTTCCTGGCATATGAAGAACTCTCGACTGTTATAACAATCTTCCCTGGCTCACTGATGTAGTACGAGTTTCTAGCATTTTCCGTGGGTCTTTTCACCTTGCCGCCCCTTATCAGGATGGTATAAGAGCCTTCGTCGTCAGGAATGAACTGTTCCTTGAAACTCACATCCCATCCAACTACAGTGTAATCCCATACAATCATCACCCCACTCTGAAAACACACACAAAAACCCAATCATAAGTAGTCAATTACAGGATGGATGGACACTCACAATGATGGTTTCAGATCTCGTTTAGTACCTCAGTAACTGGAATGTTAACATGGCCGACTGCATTTGCTCTGATCCTATGCTCCAGCGCTTTGTCCTCTGGGGAAAACTCGACATCGTTATCCCTTTTCAGACCACCATATTGAGCGGGGACTTGCTCTATTGGTATGTACCTTGAAATCGTCAAATACAGAATTGCATTCAGAAAAAGGAATGGGGAGCAAATGTGTTCGTTGCAATTTTTTTTAGCTATGCATAGCTTACTTCGAAAGGGTCTGCGTTACATTTGAAGGCCTAGCTAGGATGAACTTCTTCCTTGCTCTTGGGTTCATCAGCTTCTTGGTGACAACTCGCGATGTGTAGTACCAGAATGGAACATTGATCAGTATCTGCAACAGAGAGATAGATATATATATATATAAACCACCATCTCAACGACGAACATTATTTAATCACAGTCCGAATTTAACCTTACATTCTTGTTGATGATTCCCGGATAGTTGGACTGGAACAAAGTGACGATCTTCTTGCTAATAGAGCTGAGCTCTTTCATGGGTGCAGGGAAGTTCTTCAGATCGGTGATCTGGACGATCGAATCGACCCCGCCGGACTTGAAGCTCAGCTGCTTGATGCTCTTCTCCAGGTTCTGGACCTTGAGCCTCAGGAAATTCTCGCGGCTCTCTTCCGTGCCCAAAACTTTGGTGCACAGAGCCTTGTCCTTGAACGCCCCGTACACCGTGTAATACAACGGGCGGCCTTGCTTGTCCGTGCTGCCCGTATGGACAACGTCCTTCAGCTCGTCGTTGTCGCGGGTCAGGAGATCCTCGTCGAGGATCGAGTCTGTCCCGTACTCCTTGCGCCATTTCATGACCTTGCGAAGCATGTAGAAAGCCGAGCGGACCTTGTAGTTGTTGGCCTTGAGGAATTTGAGCAGCACGATTTCGGTGCCTTCGTGGTCTCTGCTTGGAAGCAGAGGAACCCCCCAGAGGGAAATGTCCTCCCGCAGCTGCTGTTGCTGCTCCTTGGCATTCCTTTTGCTCTTCCTGCAGGAGGAGAGGAGGAGTTTCTTGGGCTTGTCTACGAGGTAATTCTTACAAATTGCATCCTCCACCAGGGTCTTGAATTTCAGCAATGCTCGTTTCTTCCGCATCTTGTACTCCACAGGATCCTTCGGGCTCTCGCATTCCTTGTCGATTCCTGCATCTTCGTCGCAATACGTACAAATCTCTTCGTCTTGGCTTTCGTTGGTGACGACTGCGTTTGTATATTCATCGATGTCCTCGTCTTCTTGTTCTTCTTCTTCCTCCTCCTCGTCATTCTCTTCTTCTTCTGCTTCTTCTGATGTGTCCTGTGATTTCCTCTCACATTTCTTATCCATTGTTGAATCCTGAAGAAGGGTTCTCCGGATTCAGGAATAGAGCAAGAAATGAGAGGGGGGAGAGATGGATCCAGGTTTTGCTAAATTTTGGAAAATGTGTGCTCTCCATCTCCTTCGTGTCAAAAACCGACATTTACATAAAAACGAGAAATGAGAGAAACTCTGTAATTCTACAGCTTCCCAAATGCCAGCAAGAGGGGGGTTTTGATTTCCAAAAGCTATAATTGTATGACCCTAAAAATAACAAACGTATTAGGTCGGTGGCTTCAGGTGTCCTACAATTTGGCACAATGAAAAATATACAAAAAGGTCAGTTTATAAATTAAGAGGCGCGTATTAGATGCATTTTAGGCACGGTAAGCACATTCTTCCATATCGTATTGTAATCTCTGTTGCTCGTGACTACTTGTTCATTCGCTTATCGCTATTAGTAAATGTCGTTATATTAGTTTTCTTCATAAACAAAAAATCATAGAAAATTTTGATAGAAGGATCTAATTTCAAGAAACAAAAGTAGCCATAAATAGATCTTTTTGCTTTTAAATTTTGGTGATATATATTTGAAATCCATCATAAATGAAAATCGTGATTACCTTCAAACTTATATCTTAGAAAATGAAGAACACCAATTTGCCTTCATGATACACAAGTATCAACAGAAGTGGGATTCTATGGATCTATTAACAAACAAACAAACAGCCTAAGATATATAACCATTTGTTTCAGGGGTCCATCTCACAGCTACATACGTTTTTCAACTTCCAAGGCTCAACAGATTCAGAAAATATTATACTAAACAGTTTCCACATTTTCCTTGTAGGCGCCATAAACAAACCTGAGCTAAATATCATTCATCAGGTTCATCTACAAACTAGAAATAACATAATCTTCCCTTGAGACAATAAACAGATAACCTAATCTCGACGGATGTTACTGCTTCAGTGCTTCGTATTTACACAGCCAATTCAGTTAAAGCTACCTGCAATTTACAGCAATCCTGATGACTCTCGATATCCAGTCAGGTCAAATGTCAGAGTTCTCGAGCAGCTGCACCCATTTGAAAAGGCATATACAAACAACTACATCAGATCGTTGATCTAAAGTCATAGCTACTGGGTATAAAAAAAAGCTTAAGAAGATTTTCTAAACAAACTGAGTGAGATAGACTTACCCTCTATCTGCATCACGGTAAACTCCCACCAAAGCTTCGGCCTTGTCATAAAAGCTGTCTTTCAGAGAGATCACTATACTCTGGAAACCACTGCCACTCTCACCGTCGCTTTCCATGTTAAGGTTAGAACCATCGTGCTCCTGATCCACCCGAGTCCCTGCTTGACATGATTTTGAACGAATGAAACCAGCTACCTTGGCGACATTTAAGTTATCCAGCGCAGCATCAACCTCATCCAATATGAAAAATGGCGACGGCCTATAGCTGAAAAAGACACAAGAAAGCCGAAGAATTAAGTGCTGAACAAAGAAAGTACCACTGTTCATTGTTTGAAGATAGAACGGATGAACACGTCAAGTCCAGAATACACACCACACAACTAAGAACAACTTCTTGCTATTCAGAGGATTACATAAAGAAAACTGAATATTAGTACTAATTGAAACCAGCAGCCAACCTTTCTTCCCGCTTATCATTAATGAATCCTATTATTTAAATACCTGTGGATGGAAAAAAGCAAAGCCAGTGCTGCAACAGTTTTCTCCCCACCAGACAGCTGTTCCATATCTCGGAAACGTTTGGTTGGAGGCATAGCAGTGTATTTGATACCATGTAGATAAGGCTCATCTTCATTCTCTAAGTTCAAATACGCAGTTCCACCCAAGGGATGCGAGCCACTCTTCGTCAATTGCTTGTAGATCTTATCAATTACTTTTGATATATGGTTGAAAGCTTCCATGAATAACTCATGTCTGCAAAACCAAATCAAGTCAGAACGGCAATGCATTTAACTCCCAAGTGATCACGTTTGCCATCTTCCCAGGTTACCAAAAGAGAGAGCACAGCAAGTTGAAGAAGACTAAGCATGATGAAAAATAACAAGGATAACTAAACCCCCAGTACCATTAGTTTAGTAATAGAAATTCCAATTCATTATTCCTAGTTCGTTGGTGAAAACCTTCCTTTTTTCTCCCCTTCCGCTCTCTTTTTCTAGGCCAGTCCTATTGCTATGAAAACAAAGTTTTGACCGTTCTTGAAGTTTACTTGTTCATAGTTTCTCCCATATGAAAACTTGGGCTTGCACCCAGAAGATGCAGAACTCAGCCACTAGATTAGTTATCTCATTCACACCTCACAGAAGTGCCCAATATACTCAACTTAACATTTCCTAATAAAATTATTCAAGTTAATCTTATACGAAAGGGCGCTCCCAAAAAAATTTGAACCATTTGGCAGGTGAAAGAACTCTCTTCTTTCACTATATCTATTGACATCCAAACACAGTTTCCAATTCTTCAAGTTCAAAACAGCACCATGTTATGATACTCTTGACCATTTTCATATTGGGAATTTTGTCAGGGACCCCATTTCTTTCTGGACTTGCTACTCTTTTAGACCTGCGATAAAAGACTGATAGGGGCTTCAACTTTTGGAATAGAAAAGACCACAGGTTAGTTCTTTCTTACCTATTGTGCCTAACCGAGTTATATGCTTTGGTGGCCTGATTCTCCTCCTTGCTGGCAGTGGCAAATTCTTCAGATGCTTCTCTTTCCTTCTCCAGCAAAGCCTCATACTGCTCCAGAGCCTTCAAGTTTGGAGCAGTTCTATCTATTTCAGATCTCAAGGAATCCATTTTTCGCTTGAATTCCAGATCGATCTTCTCTCTGTCTGAAGTCCCCTTATCTTGAAGAAGAGTTCTATGCAGCTCACTAAACTCAAAGAATGGGCCCGGAATTGACGAATCAGTATCCATGGGATCCGAAATAATTGGGAGGCTGATATGCTCCAATTCACACTTCTCCACAATATCTTGCTTCCGAGACAAGAGTTGCTCAATCTGTGCCTCCTGATTAAACAAAAGGGAAGATGTGATTACAACTCTATATGTTCTCCATTTCCATACAATCTTCAACGTTCAGACTGTTCTGGATTTAACAATAAGAAACTGACGACTTGAAAGCTGGGCTGAGGAGTTACCTTGGAGCTTATCTGACGGCCAAGCTTCGACAAACTTGTAGCAGCAGATGAAGCCTGCTTCTTCCATTCCTGAATATCCTTGTCACAACTTTCTGCTTTGGACTTCCACTCTACAAGGATTAGGGAGTTCGAACTTAGCACATTTAAAGATGCATCTACAAACACCCAGTTCAAGATTAAATAAAAAAAAACCCCAAAGACAAGTCATCATATCGACATTTCGTTTTCTTAAACTAAATCATTTCGCTTATTCTAAACTGTAAAATTCATAAATACATATAGATGTATCTTATATTTTGATGAGCCACCTAAACCTGATTAGTCATATTCGGTTGGTTACCTTTTCTCGAAATTGTCATTTTTTAAACATGCTTGTAGCTGTCATTAAGTTTGTAATACTTTGTTTGACCTTCATTGACAATAAGTTCTAGAACGTAAAGAGAAATTATTGTTGGCAAGGAGCCAAGGACACTTGATCACTGAAATACTAAGAGTCTGCTTTAACATTCACTTACATGGATAAATTTCTCAATCTCAAAAGCACTAAATAGTAAAAATCGCAGCCAGTCAGTCAGAACTGTTGGATTTCTACACCTAATGATGGACAACTCATTCACAGCAGACAATTAAATAGTTAAAAATGTAACATCCTTTAAAACATTAGATTATATATATTAAGCATTGCAATAGTTGAGATTTCTTTCATTTCTTTTAAGAACAATATTCTGTTACATATATAAAAAATAGAAAGGCATTCGGGAAAGGCTGTACTAGTACCGCAAAAAAGAAAAAAGGTTGTCGTACATTCGTACAATAAGAACTACTTCCAAAATGTTAAGGGAGAACAGTAGAAGTACCTTGAACTTCTTCCTTCAACTTATTAATCTCACTCGTCATGTCCTCCGTAGCTGACTTGACATCAACCTCTCTTTTCTCAGCATTTTTCAATTCATTCTTTAAATTACCTAGAGAAGATTCCAGCTTTCTAATCCTTGCATTTGCGTCCCGCTTTTGCTCATACTCCAATCTGCAGGGGCAAATAACAGAATCTTTATTGCAAAGGAGGGGAGAAGAAAATTTTGCAACTAGCAGCGGTTCTGAACCAGTTCAGTTCATGATGCACTTAATGTGCAAGAAAAAGAATTCACTATTGCCATGAAAACATTAATGTACCACCCAAGTCAAAAGCGAGCTAGCAAGAAATAAACCACACAACATTAAATGCGATGAAAACCAGCACTCACAAGCAAAATGTTGTTGCCTCCTTAATCCCTTAAGCTTTATCACTAGCAAATTTCTTCTGAGATATATGAAATCAAACTGCGATGAAAGAAAAGCAGAAGCTAGGGGACAAATGAACAATGTGTTCGTCGTCCAGACATTTACCAAGCTTTCTTCACTTCTCGCTCAAGTAAGCATACAATGGAAGGGAAAAAGAAACTCTAAAGTCAGATAAGCTGCATTGCTGCTGCTCTAATTTTTCTCCCGCGACTAATTTCGAGATTACCACAAAACCTAACCATACCTTCAACGGGAGAAAGATAATCCTATGACCATTCTGATTGTTACTTCCTGATGTCACATACTGTTCTATATACAATGCATGTAATCTTTAAACTCAAGGTCCCAAGAAAAGGGCAAAGCCAACCAACAGTCCCAGGTACACAGAAAACCAATTAATATTGAAATGGTAGGATACACAATCACTGAGCATATACTCTAAACAGTATGTACTGAAGTTCAGCTTCAAGATTAATTCACAACTTTATTGGGATAACTTCATTCCAGTATCTGATTCGAGAAGCGGGCATACAAAGAAATTAAAATGCATTGTTATAGTAGGTCCTAACAATAAACTAAAGTTTAAAAACCAATTAACTAAAGAGAAAACATCTGCACTGCAGCAGCATAACAATAGGCAGACTAAACAAGGACAAATAAGAAAGCATCTGGAGAGAACATAACCAGTCTTTGCATGAGACAACAAATGACAAGTAATTGAATAGAAAGAGAGGATCGCATATTATAACTAAACTAAGAGTTCCAAGTGATCCATAGAAAAAGAACACAGATAAGCAGCTATATGGATAACTTACTGATACTTCAACTTTGACAGCTGGTTGCTTAAACTAAGCCTTTCTTCAGCAACATGTTGGGCAGCCTTGAGATTGTTCTCTTCAAATTCACGTATGTTTGCCACACCAACAGAATTACTGAAGTCCTTGTAAATCCCATCAACTATCTCATTTATTCTTTTCTCCAACTCCCTAATGTCATTACCTCTGCTGCCAATAGTACCTTTCAACTACACAAGGTTCATAAGGTATTAGTTTTATGGTTTTCTTCTTTTTTTTCTATGAAGTACAAGTTTCAGTTGCTATGTTGGTAATACAATGAGATGAATGCAAAGCAAGTTACTATCTGAAAATTACCTTCTGCAATTCAGGATTTAGACGACGAATTTCTTTTCCAATAATTTGCTTCTCTTTTTTCAAGTTCTCAAGCTTGTCCTCAATACTTTTCTGAAAGAAAATTTTTGGGGAAGCATCAAAGTAAATCAGCATATGGGGGCTACAAAATCTACACCATCCAGACAAGAATGACCTAGCAGCCCACATACACAGTAGAAATATCACATTAATAAAATTGATTTACCTTCTCAATCTCTGCATACTGGATTTTCTTTTCAAGACCACTGATCCTGCCAGACGCTTCAGACTCTATCTGAATAATTTCCCTAAGTGACCCTAGCTCTTCTAGTTCAGACTCAAACTGCTCTTTCTTCTTCTTCAATCCTAAAGAATGGCAACATAAAACCTTAAGGCACCAAGAACAGGAAAAGAGAAGATTTATCTGGAATTAAACCAACCCTCAATCTTTTTATCATCCCATTGCTTTGATCTTGCCTCCATCCCGCCACTAGTACCGCCAGTCATTGTGCCAGACTTTGTGAGGAGAGTCCCATCTACAGTTACAACTGAGATGGGAAAACCAAATAGAAAGACTTTCAGTCAACATTGACAATGGAATAATAAGTATTGAGATTTTATCTCATCTCTCACATTTAGGAGTTGAGAAGGCTTATAAGCATTTACCTTTAAGTCTCTCTCCCTTCCCTTCCCATCCAAGTTTTTTGGCTTCATCAAGGTCATCACAGACCATAGTATTGCCAACCGCAAAGAGTATAGCCTTCTCCAGGGCAGAAGGATAGTTGATCACGTCAAAGACGAGCTTCGCAGAACCCCCTAAAGTACGCAGCCTTTCGGTAATTGGCTTTACACGGACAGACCGAAGGGGTATAAATGTCATAGGGGGAAGCCTTTGCTCTTTCAAATACTGCACAAAAGACCAAACTCAAGACTTCCATGGAAAAGATCTTCCAAAAAATGAGCAAACACAATGACCAACAAGTAAATCAGACAGCCATGTCAAAATGGAGGAAGACAAGCATGATAGCTAGCTACCTTGATACATTCTTTCCCTGTATTTTCATCCTCAACAACCACAGCATCCATAAATCTGCCCATAGCTACGGTGAGAGCCAGGTTGTATTTCTTTTGGGTCGGCCTACAGAGCTCAATTATACGTCCATGAACTCCTTGAAAAAGGCGTTCAAGAGTCTTAACTGTTTGGGACAACCTAGCATCCCTGTCGTTTTCATTTCTATCAGCTTTCAATTCACGCAATTGGCTATCTATCTCGCCGATCTTGGACTTCAAGTTCTGATGCTTGTTCCTGATAAAAGAAAGATGTGGTCAACATATAATGTTATTGTAATTTCATACTGTTTCTCAGTGAAAAAAGTTTCAATAAGTAATGAGGTAAATATATGCAAGAAAAGCAAATGCCACCTACAAACATATATCCTTGGCATTCTCGGCAAATAACCACAAGTAAAAAGGCTAACAGAAAAAGAAATCATGAAATGAAGAAGAATTAATACAACCACTGACTTGGTTTCCTGATGCATATCTCGTATCCCCCGCAGTTTTTCTTTCAGATCTGTCAGTTCAGTTTTACGGCTAGCAGAAGTGTCAACAGTATTTTTAAGTTTTGCTTGCATTTGCTCCTTCTGTGAATCAAGTTCCTGCTCCCGATTTCTCAACTGTTGAAGATTCTCTTCCAAATTCTTCTCAGCTTCCATATCAGCATGTTGATGCCTGTCCAATACCTCCTTTTCATCCCTAAGCCTGCTAGTTTCCATCCCAGCTTTTTCTTTGCTGCAACATTAAAGCTCCCTTAATGAACAGTGGCAAGAAAATTCTAAGCCACAAATGAGAATCTTAAATCTTATTAGTGTAGGAATAACCACCCTACACGAGAACAATATTTTTCCACATAGGCTAAGTACTCTTTTTTTCCTTTTTTATCTCGGAACTTCTTGATTTGATATTCCAGAAATAGGCACGAACGAGGACAGTCACTGAAGATACCTATGCCTCAATCATCTAATGGGAGCATTAGATTGTTATCAAACAAAAAAACTGTGAATGCGAAGTACTATGAACTCACATCTGGAAGTAGTCGGTCAGTTGACTGTCAGCCAAAGGAAGTTTGCCGCTACTGTCTCGACTTCTCTCGTTCAGATCATCCAGTTTTGCTGCCAGATCCTGTATGCCACGCTGTAGTTCTTTTACCTCACTCTCGTGTTTCTTCCGTTCTTCTTTTTTCCTATCAAGATCCTTGCTGGTGCTCTTAATTTTTGACCTTAACCGTGTCATTTCCTCATTTAATTTCAGAAGCTCAGGTTGCTACAGAACAAACAAGAAAACAAGCATCCGGGGACAACAGAAGGAAATTTAAAGTTACTCTTCTTAAACCAGGATTCAACAGAAAAGTTTGCTCCCCCGGAAAAAAAAAAACAGAAATATTACATGTACAGACAATGCTTACATGTTTTTCAAGCTTAAGGCTTTTCGTATGGATCTTCTTTTCACAGTTGGAAAGCTCTTTCAGGTACCTAGCCTGCTCCTTCTTCTTTTTATCAGCTTCGTGTTCAAACCTCTCGAGTTCCTCCATAACATCTTGACGGTTCTTTGTTTCAGCTTCAAGTTCTTTATTTATCCTTGTAATGTCATTATCTATGGTGAACAACTGCCATAAGAAATGCTCTCTCTTCACAGATTTCTGGATTATCAATAAAAGAAATCTGTTAACGGCTGGACAAGTAAGATTGGCATCATAATTGGAAGCAAGATGATTGGGCCAATGCCCCTCTATATGTCATGTAACCTTACGGCTCATACCAGTTCAGCTTGCAAGCGATTGTGCTTCTCTGCTTCTTCTTTCTGCGCTTTCTTTTGCTTCCTTTCACCTACTATTGTTCTTTTCTTTTGATAGGCAAGTGCAGTTTTCTCTTCTGCCCTCGCTTTCTGTTCTTCCAGATCCTCATAATCCCTCTTTAATTCCTCGGACCCAGAAATTTGCTCAAGCAGAGCAGTCAGCTCCTTCGGGTTCTTGGATGCAATAGACTCAACATCCCCCTAGATTAATGTATAAGCGCACATATGAAGAAACGGAATTATGGTATCATGCCAATCACATCTAAGTTTAACTTGCTTTCCTCCACCTGGAGCACAAAATTTGGACACTAATTTACCTGAAAGACCAAAAAGTTCCTGGCCTTAACTAGAATCCCCAGCGACCTTAATTTCTTGTTATACTCGTCCCAGTTGACAACCTTGTCATCGATGCGGTACTCGCTCGCACCAGCGCTCGTGATAGCTCGAGTGAAGTGAATCTCCGCACCACTAGCTAACTGGTAGACTAACCGCACGAAAGCTCTGCGGCCTCTCTGCTCCTTCTCGCGGTCGTCGAAAGCATAGATGAGGTCCTTGAGCTGTGCACCGCGGAGCTGGCCGGTACGGACACCGAGGACGAAGCTGATGGCGTCCATCAAATTGGACTTGCCAGCTCCGTTGGGGCCAATGATGGCGGTGAAGTCCTTGAAAGGGCCAATTATCTGGTGGCCCTTGTAGGACTTGAAGTTCTCCATCTCTAGACGGAGAATCTTGCCCGGCGAGATTTGTGCAGGCATGGTTGCGGACGGTCTAGGGTTTTTTATCTTTCCCCTTCCTTCTGGCTGGCCAAAAGGGAGTGGAGAAATTAGGGTTTCTGCTGAGTAGAAGGACAACTGAAGAATTCAAGATGATGACAGTCGACAGGAAACGAGTTGAACAGATCAACTAGGGTTCGACGGAAAGGGAAACTGGAGTTAAATTTTGGAAGGGAAAAGAAGAGCAGAGAGGAAGTTGAGGGTGGTGACTGGTGAGCGGGGAAGTGGGGGGAATTGGCGGGATAGGGAGTTTTTTGGGAGAATTTTTAACTAAGATTGAGAGTTGAGAACGTTCCCATTTCTGAGAGAAGACGGCACGACGACAATTTGATGTTTATCTCTCTCTGTTATTTTTTTCCTTTTTTTACAAAAGATAATTTTATATTGATTCAAGAGAAAAAGTTACACCCTCGAAATCAATCAGGTCTAAAAATCAAAGAAACGCTCGTGGTCAGGTATAGAGAAAGGGCTTTCCTAGCCACCAAATAGGCTACCCTATTACTACGCCGACCTATGAACAGAATACTAAGCCCCGAATGGATGTGAAAATACTCGTGTCCATGAAACCGTTTCGTACCGGCGGTTCAACCACGAAATACCACATCGACAAAGCACGGGAGAGATTCATGGTTCATAAATAAGAAACCGACCTTAACTAAAAAGACGCGTTTTGGGGTGAAATGGAGGAGTTCTTGTGAGAACTCCGAAGTTAAACGTGCTCAGTGTGGAGTACAACAAGGATGGGAGACCTTATGAGAAGTCACCTTGAATTGCACCCCAGTCGAAAACCGTGAGTGTCGAGGACCCAAAGCGGACAATATTTTCGTCGGGAAAAAATTCGGAATGTTACACCCGTTCTCTTTTTCTTTTTTTTAATCTTTGCTATGTTCTCTTAAGTCTTACTCTTAACGGCCCATTACTTTTCATTCTAAAATAATATAATGAATCCTCTCATATATGCTAGCCTAATATTTTTTTATAGATAGATAGATGTATAAAAATTAGGATGAAATTACTAAATCATACAATGTTCATATCTTCTCGAAATTGAAATTGACTTTTAAGGATGTTGTTGTAATCAGGAAATAATATTTAGAAGATCAACAAGTGTCGTCACTAGAAATCGAACACACGGCCTTACAATGGGAAGTGTGTCGACTCATCAACTAGGCTAGCACTCGTTGACATTTGCCCTTCACTTTTAATATAAAACAAAAGAAACTATGAATATAAATGAGAAAAGAAAAGGAGTTTGTACTATTAAACCAACAATCACAACAAACTCACAATTTTGTTGATTGTAGGTGAGACCCACACAAAACAATACATGCATAGTTTTGCATCTTGAAACTTCTTAACATTTTATTGTGGACAATACATGTATTTAACAAATGAAAATTACCATCCACCGCCATTGTTGAGTAGTGAGTACGACACAAAATGGTTCTCCCGTGTTGTCATCTCGTTCAACGACGTGGCTGCGATTGACACGCTACTCCGTATCCAAACATCTTTTTTCTTTCTCGACTGTTGTTCTCTTCAATTCTATTGATATCTTCCTTCAATTTTCCGGGTTCACGCGAAATTGATCTGTCTAAGGTTAATTTAATTTCGTACCCAGGCACAAGTTTTTTTCTTTTGTTGATTGATTAATTTGGAGATTGATTTTGCTTGCGGTGAAAAAAGGCGAATGTTGTGGTGGCTTGTCTAGTAATAATAAAGGAAATATATTAATTGATATACAAGTCCAGAAATCATCGAATTGTCATGATGGCTTGTCTCGTACTACAGTGGAGGCATTGGCACAACGAAAAGTTTAGTTTTGGGTTAGGTCACCCAATTCGCCTCTCTACCCTCCACGTTCCCGCTCCAGATCGCCAAAACGCGATTTTTTGGGAGTTCGCCAAAAATTCGCGAATTATGTTTCATGAGAGCGCGATTTGTGATTTTGAGAGCGCGTTCTCTCAGCGAATTCAGAAGGATAACTTTGATCTTCTTCCTCTTCTTGTCTTTTGTCCCTTGAATTACATTTTGGGTCTATTCTTCAAAAGCACGACTCTGTTCAGCTGTTGGGTCAAGTCCCCCTGGTCTCAAAAGAAGATTTAGAACAAAGGGGAGAAAGAAATTTGCGAGTTCTATGGCGTTAGAGATGCATGCAGCAACATCAATCTCATCAGTGGGGGAGGGCAGCCTGGTGATAGAATGATGAGGCGGTTGAGAGCTTGTGGTTCTGCGTTTCTGGATAGCAGATCTTGCGCTTGGGTAGAGAGCTTCGATCGGCAAAAATGGAAGAAGGTGGGCGGAGAAGCTTTTCGACATCATCTGCGCAGACTTTCTAAAATCTTACCCTCCCCATCCCTGATTGCTTGCTTGGATTGAAGAGATGCTATAATTATTGCTATTAATTTGTTCAAGAAGAGGAAGGAAGGGGAGAGAGAGAGCAGAGAGACATCGAGAAAAGAATGGTTGGGGAAGATGTGAAGAAAGAGACGTTTTTTAGTGTGGTGTGGGACTACTTTTTTATATTATAATAATAATTTTATTATTAATTAAGTTTTTTATCTCGTGAATATTGGGAGACGTTCATTGAATTGGTTAGTCTCCACACAAAGTGAAATTAAATGGGAAGTGCTGTATAATAGAACGAGGGAAATTAAATTGTAGGAGTAAGTTGTGATAATATTGTTTATATTTTATTTAATAATTTGAAATAATAATAATTTATTAATTAAAATAATATAATATTGACGCTCTATTCACGCTCTTAATATTGAATTCTTCGAAAACTGACGCTCTGACGCTCCCGTTCTCGCTCTCGCTCCCGCTCCCGCTCCACGCTCTGGTAACTAAAGTTTTGGGTGGTGGAATGATAGTTCTGCGGTGGAGGCGGAGGGAGTAAAGAGCTGTGAAAGTGCGGGCATGTTTCGGCCTCCCTAGAGGAAGAGTGTTATTTATTTATAATTAATATAAAATCAATCTAGATCAACTTATATATTAGCGTTCAACTCGTTCACCGTTGATGACTAACAGTCAACACTAATGAAATGAAAGTTTGTTCTAGAATTGTCATATTGACTATATTTTATTGAAGTGACATCTCTTTTATAATTTAGGTGTTCTCGTTGTACTAATCCTTGAAAAATTATTAAATATGTGCTTTCGTCTAGCTTTTTAAAATTAGTTGTTATCTTGGCACCACAATAATCAGTGACTAGCATTAATCGTCCTTATTCGTCTACTTAGTAAATCCGTATTCAGTGGCAGAGTCAGAGTCATAATTTTTTATGGTTATATCAAAATATTATTAAGAGTCGACAACCAATAACAAAACACTATGACGCTCCTCGGAACAAACAAAGTCTGTACAATGATAACCTTCCTGCATACGAGAAAGTAAACTGGAAGAAAAAAGCTTTCTACCCCAAACCCTAGACTCAAAACAATCTAGCAAACTCTGGTCTAGTTGGCATCGAAAACGGACAATCCACTTCGCTTGGAGAACAAGCTGAGAAGGGGACCTCACACCATTAGAACCATACGTCTTGGAGTAACACTAACGCCAGATCAGGCTAAACACGACACTCCATGACAAACGATTCAAAACAGCATCAGTATTCTCACCCCTCCACCGAGCTATACTCCATTGTAAAACTGTAGGCCACTTTCCCAATTCTGGCGGAGCTGCAGTCTGTAGAGTCTGAATTCGAAAGTACACGTGTCCTTTTTTTATAATGTAAATATACAAACAAATGGATACTATTTAACAAATATAATTAAAACTAATAATATTCAAATAATTCATTCATAGATAAAATATTCGACTAATACATTCATTCTTCTCATGTCTAATATGTTCATATTTTTTCTTTTTCCAGCATAGCCAGGGCATGACACATTTATTCAATGGGAAACAAGAGTTTGACAGCATTATTTACTACCAAAAGGACAAGAAAATGTGGAACCTTAATTACAATCAACCGTCGCGACTAAACGAAGGCACCTGCTTATTGCTATTAGTACCACTTGTCCACTACTACACCACAGAGAAGAAAGGGGGGGGGGGGGGGGCAAACCTCAGAATCAAGAAGGCGACAGAAGGAAATTTACCAACGAACATACATTTTCAATCTACTTCTACTATCTGAAAGTTACAAGTCTGCTACGCCAACTTCTCAGTTCCCAGCACTGAAGTCGATAATTGCTCTCTCCCATCGCTTTGATTCGGTGGTACACCATTGTCTGGCTGATCTACTGACTTCGCATTATCCTGATTCACAACAATAACTGCCGGATCAGGCTTCAACGAAGTTTCAGGAGTTTTAGCCGATTGCTCGGCAAACTGTAAGCCAGCTTCCATATCTTTATATTGGGAGATGACTCGCTCGAGTTCGTCATGGAGATTGAGGGCCTCAAACAGCATCGCCTCATCATCGGTGGTGCTCTCTATAAGCCTTTGCACAACAGCCTGCAACTGCTTGCACTTCTCGAACAAGCTCACTGTTAGCTCCTCCTGGATAAATGTTGGAACACTAATAGTTAAAACCATCTCCCAAGAAAAAATAATAATACCAACAACACAGTAAGTCGTCTAACAGTCAATCAAAGATGCAACTGGAAAGTCGGAAGAGTAGAAGGAGGTGAAACACAAATGACCAGTTCAAGAAGAAGAACAAGCTCTGACCTTGATGGGTTTTGGGTCTGCTTCTGCATTTAAAATGCTAGAAAGAAGTTCGAGACTATTCCTAGTTGTTACAATAACTTCATTCTTTTCTTCCACTGATAGACCATGATAGTTCTCTCTGAAGGTAGCATGCTCAAAGCCAGGCGGCACTCCTGAATTAGGAACAGGATAGCTTCCAGGAGGAGATAGAGGCTGGTGATCGAGATACGACTCCAGCGAGTATTGCATCGGAGGTGCATTTCCATCGGCTAACATACTTCTTTCTTTCAAGCTCTGCCATGCAAAAACAGATACCATCCATCATGAAAAACTAGTTCCTGACACAGAAGCAATAAAGCTGCATGTGAATAACCAAACCACACATCTGGACGGACAGATTTGCCTGCGTGTTTGTTGATCAAAACTTAGGATGTCATGCCAGATAGTGGAACCTAACTATCCCTTTATCCTGCCCTCGAGTCCTTAAGTTACCCCCAAAGGATATGGCTAGACATACTAGTGATAAAAGAGAGAAGCTGGACAAAGGACGGAAGGAGTAGTTGATTAGAGGATACATAGCCAAAAGGAAGAAGAGAACGAGTTTGCCCTACCAAAACCAGCAGCTTCAGGCCCTCACATTTCAAAGAGTGTTGTCAAAATGTTGCTATGAAATTTACATAAACAGAAAACACATGCCCTGATGCTATTATTCTCATAAAGGAGAGATGTAACTTCAAAATCTGCATAAGGAGTCTATAGCTCACACAATATTGTTGAAAAAAGCAGAAAAAAGGCCTTCAAAGTTTCAAGTTTGGTTGGAGTTGTAGTTGGACAAACGCGAACAACAAACTATGAGCAATGGTTAATAAAATAAAAACAATCAACTTCCTGGACATTGAAGAAATCCAAGTCACCAATCAAGAGCAAACAAGAGGAAAAATGAATAGATTTTGAGCCAACTTGTTTTGTTTGTACTGTTGGAAGTTGGGAGAGAGAAACTACCATGTAAGTTTGTCGAAAAACAGGCAGATACTCTAGATCCTCGGATTCACCCCAAGCTGCAATCAACTGTGAGGCCCTATTCCCATTCGCCAGATCAGACAGAGGGTTGTCAATCATCTTCATCATCTCATCCAAGGCCTTCTCTGAAGCAACTGCAGAGAAAACTTTCTCGCAATTCATACTACAGGCCTCAAGCAAATCAAGGCTCAATCTCTGGCTGACTTGGCTCTTCCCTGAAAGCTTTCTTTCTATGGCCCTCACAATGTCCGCACCATTAAACTCCTCAATGTTGATCAGAGCGCATATCCTCAAATTCAATCCCCAATTCGGCTCCGCCAGGGTCTCCGTTGTGGCCTCGTCCACCATCTTGGATTCGAGAGTCGGAGCCTGCAGAATTTCCTTCATCTTATCACCCACAACCCAGCTCATCTGAGCACCGCCAGTGCGCAAGCGTTCTCCCCATTGAGCCAACTTGAGCTTGTCCATTTTCCCTTGTCCTACGCCATTAAGAGAAAGGGAAAATAACGGATCAGAGAGAAGGGTTCCCACTTTATCTATCGAAACCCTAATAGAACACAGTCTCGCGAGTCGTTCAAACAAGAGCTAACCAACTGTTCAGTCAAACGACCGGAGAGCTCCCATAAATAGATATCCCTGTGAATATTGTTCAGTAATAAGATCGAAACAGAGAAGTACAAAAACTGAATTCGGCTAAGCGTATGCAATAGTTCCAAAATTCAAACGGCCTTATCTTGCTTTTTATCTCTTGAACTTTCTCGGCTACCAAACAAAAAAGAAGCAGAACAGAGCAATTTGAAACACGGGGCGGGATGTAAAATAATGGCGAAGATACGGAAACGAGTCGGAAACCTGAGCTCAGCAGCGCTCAATGAAACGATGGCGCTGATTGGAGACGGTGAAATCGCTTTTCCCGGTCACCAGATTCGATGTGCTCTTTTGTGGAGCTTCGTACCTGAAATCTGGTGGCAGTAGTAGGGAGATAATCATCAGAGAGCGACGTGCGAGAGAGAGAAGAGGGACGAGGGGAGGAATAGTCAAAGGTCAGAGCTACGCGTGGCCGAGTTAGGAGCCACGTAGCGGCTTTGTGGGGCCATGTGAGACATTCGCGGGAAAGGCTGTACGTATATACCGCTTTTGTTTCTTATCGGAAAAATTACTTTCATAGTTTCATTCGTACTAGCTTTGTACCGAGTACCGACTACTGAGTCCTTTGGCCAGGTAATGGTTGTATGAATGTCTATTGGGTTATGGGTATTGTTGGACTTTAATAAAAATGTTTTAAGTGGTAACTATTAAGGTTCACACCTATTTGATCAAATTCAAACAATGGCAATGTTTTTTTTTATGATTTATGAGGCATATCTAAATTAAATTAATTCTACTCATATGGAGGTTCGTGAGAGCTCCAAGATTACAACTATGGCTATGACTACATTTGCAGAGAAAAAGAGAAAAATGATAAAGTTTGACAATATGATGTCTTGTGTGAATTTGGCGAACCCCTTGCTCTGTCATTTCACCTTCTATTTATAGCACCAGAAGTAACTGTATTGAGAAACTGTTTAGCTAACGTGGAGTGACGGTTACCTCCTCAACTACTTTGATGATACTATGATATTAGATGTGCCCCCCTCTCAATAACTTCTCCTTAGTTTGGGTAGACCCCCTTGTCAGGCCATGGGTGGGTATTCGAATTACATGTGTCAAAATGACAAAAATAAGCCAACACGAGAGCGGCATGACTTACCCTCTTGCCACTTGATGTCATCGCCCCACCTCATCAGTTTCTGATATCACAATCAAGATGAGAAAAAAAGGAACCCATTACTCAAAATAAACCATGCAAAGAACTCTTCCAACTCTCAGATACATAATCTTTCAAAAGAATACAAATGAAAAAACTTTTAGTCATACGACTCACCAATCGCTTTAGGGTACATAAAGCTGAAAAAGTGATTTGTTGTTATGGTGGGCGACCAATAATCAACAACCATGCATGGTCACTCCCAAATCTCTTGGAAACTTTCTAAAATGGGAGTGAGCATAGCCTGAACAGCAAACTGGAAAGCAAGAAAGAAAAAATGACAGCAGGCATAAACTCATTCTTATATCACAATTAATTAGAGAAAAAGAAAGTCATTAGTCAAAATAAATCATGTTAGGAACTCTTCCACGCCTCAGATACATAATCTCACAAAAGAATACAAAATGAAAGCTATCAGGGTATGGCCGATTCAGGATCACATTGTGTCAACCCAGTCCCCCCAACTGATTAGTAGTGCCAAACACATAATTAATGGGCAGACACCATCCATCCAATTTCTCTACTCAATAGTATTAGGACTCTTACAATAAATCTTAATATTTCAAAATCATGCCAACTTTCACTATATGTTAACTTCCAGCCAACCACCTGATATATATTGTAGTAACTACTACTACTTTCCTTGCCCACAAGAGGAAGAAAAGAAATCCATCCCAAACGAAATTAGATGCACGACATTGACAATCAATGGCAAGAGAAGAAGCTTACCTGTCGACTATGTCATGCCAAAATCTCACTGCCCTGATGAGCACTCTCTGATGCTCAAATTTGGGGTTAGTATGTAGAAAGAGCAAGAGAAAGGTAGAGAAACAAAGAGGCGGCGATGGAATTGAATGAGGATTGAGGGGGATGCCACGCAACTTGCAAAACGCAGACAGTGAAACTGTTTCCTAGGGTTCAAAGCATTTCGTATTCCTCTATTTTTGCAAATTAACAAATGTACCTCTCTCTGCTAAATTTTTGCACGAACATACCTTCTAATATTAAAAGGTAACAAATTTACCCTTTCATAAAATTATCTGTTAAGTAGTCGTCAAATGGGATGGAAAATAACCAAATTGCCCTTCCTTACCCCCTAAACACTTTCTAACATGTGTTTTATTTATTTAATTTCTCGAGGAAGTACTATAATTAGTGGATATCAACCCTCCACATAACCCATCTTCCTCAACCTCCTCCTAACAACCGTTATTAAGAATATTTGTGACCTGTGGAAGATTGATTCTTACCAATAAAAGCAAGGCCAACGAAGAAGATATGACACACAACAATAGCTACCCAACCCTCTATGTAATACCTCTTCATTTGTAATATGTATTAAAAGAGTATTTAATAAAATAGTTATTCTTCTCATTATATCTATCATGTGTTCTGGAACAATTCTTTTGTAACATGGAAATTGTAAAGTGTTTATAAGATCAAAATAATTTTTCTAATAATATTTAAATTGTTGACGGTTGATTAACGGTAGGGTTAGTGATTAACCATTAACGGTATAGCCGTTTATCACTCCTAATATAAAGCGTTATAACGTCAAAATATTATTTTCTAATAATATTAACTATTAAGTTAATCTATATAACTAGCCGATAAATTTTTTTCGGTCCTTTGACATTTGGCCAAGTAGTTACACAACTACTTATGAGTCATGATGGACAGACAATTGTAGCTGAAAGTTTGAGGAATGTGTTGGGCAAATAAAGTAAGAAAGTCGTCCTTAATCGAGGTCTTAGATAGATTATTATAACTGAAATGATGAACTTAAATGATTAGGTGATGATGATTTGTTGAAAAGAAATTAATTAATCAACTTGGGAAAATATTTATCCCATTTTCCTTCCTTGTAAGCTGTTTTTTTGTTGTACTCTTCTCTCTCTATCCCTATCTCTCTCATCTTTTCTTTTTTTGCTTGTGATATTTCTGTCTGTCTGTCTCTCTCTCTCTCTCATCTTATGCAGCTTTGCAGCTTTGTAATGAAAGCCAAGCATCTGGGTCAGTGCTCTAATTCTTGCAAAGTTTAAAAATTACTTTTGTGTTTGTGCCTTCTATTTTTTCGTGATCCCTCTTCTTGTGTCAAATGTTCATCGAGATCTGTTTCCTCCTCCATTTCGTGCCGACGTCGGCAACCTTATTCCTTATGTTAGAGGTGCGGTAAAATTCTCTACCCTTCTTTGCAATGTAAAATTCCCCCTCTTCTGGTGATTCCATATGTGTCGGTTCTACATGTTTTGTTTTGTTGTTGTTTTTGTTGCTGCTCTTCTGCGGACGAGGATATAAATTGATAGCTTTTGATTTGGCCTCTGTCCTGGGGGTTTCTGGCCTGCCGCCGGCTTCTGTTTTGACCCTATTTTTTTTTGTTAACTTGTGCGGTGTTTTCCATCCTTCTCTCAGAAAGGTATGTATATCGATGTTATTTCCACTGATTAAGGAAACCCAATGCCTTGGTGGAGACAACTTCTTGACAGTTCTTGGTCTAAGGAAGCAGAATTCTGGGTCTCTCTTATCCGTGTATGAGGAGGGATTCTGTTAGGTTTCTGAGAGGTTAAGGGTTTGGGTTTACGTTTTACATATGATTGCCCACAAATTTTTCGTTTATGTGCTTGAAGGTTGATTCTTTTCTTACTGTCGGCGGAACTAACTAATTTTGCTCGAAGGAAAGGGAGCCTTTGACCCGAATTCTGAATGTTCGGAAACATTTTTTGTTAAAGTTTTCCTCTTCATTTTGAACTGTCAAGAGACCACAATTGGTCGAAAGAGATTAGGGGTCGTTTGGATGGATCAATGTGATGAGTCAATCTGCCACAATTGGGTTAAATTGTCTCATTTGACTACAAAAAAAGTTGATGAACCAATTGTACTAGGGGAAATGTGAATTGATCCATTATGAGAATTAGAATTACTTGGATACGGGGGAAGCTATTGTAGATTGCTTCATTTTTTTGGTGGCTTTCTCAAAGCTGACCTTTTTATTTTTCTTTTCTATTTTCATTTTCCTTTCCCCTCTATCCTTCACTCTGTCGAAACATCTTCTTGCCTCTTTTTCTCCTCACCTTTTATCTCTCTCTCTCTCTCTCTCTCTCTCTCTCGTAAATTCGCCGGAGATGGACACAATAGAGAGGCGATCACTGCCTCCTCTTCTTTCATTTGAAGAGGAACCATAAACCTCAAGTCTCGTTATCTTCTTCCTCTTCTCCCCCTTTTCTATTCACCTATTGAATCATCGAACGAACGCAAAGGTGGCAGAGATGGCGGGAGTCGATGCCGGTAAAAGAAGATTATAACTGCGAGGTCGGAAATTAGGTTTTGGTTTCAATTGCATGTCGCTTTTGATCTTGCTTGCTTATTCCAGTTCTAGTGCATGTTTTTCATTATGTTCTGATTTTGATTTCAAGCGGTTCATGATAACGAGAGAAGAGAAAATGGTGGAGAGGTCGTCGCCGACAAAGAACTCCGGTGGCAACATTTATCGCTGCCTCTTCTTTCATATGAAGAGTCACCCTAACCCTCATCTCTCATTCAGGGGATAATTTGGTTGTTTGATGTTTGTTTTCTAAAAGAGCGGTTGATCTTTGGTGGTCTATAATTTTCGATTCTTCCGGTTACGAAGTGTAAGAAAGGAAGATGGAGGGGGGGGGGGGGGGGGGGGGGGGGGGGGGGGGGGGGGTTAAAGAACTGAGGGCAAAAGTGTATTTTCCTGTAATTGTCTCATCCTAATTAGGGCTGGAAGTTTGGTAATGGTATTTGGGATATACCGAATATCGTACCGAATTTGTCTATATTTGGTATTACCGAATACACGGATTATTTTTTGGGATTGGGATTGAATTTCATTTGTTATTCGGTATTAGGGATTACGGGATTGGGATCGGTATTATACCGAAATACCGATCAATACCGAAATATAAGCTAGTGTGTATTTTATCCTCTCAACTAAACTCTCTCATTCACTACTACACGACCCTCAACCACCAAAAGTGTCATTTAATTATACATAGATCATTCCATCACTATTAATAGTCGTCTGTCAACCTCCAATTCGTCAAATTAAAGATTAATAATGACAAGAACTTGAGATGTCTCCTCTCCTCCATTCTCCTTAATAATATCCAAATTCAAGACTCTTTGCTTAGTCTTTTTTCCCTAAATTAAACAATAAAATATAATTAATATATTTAATTATTAATTGTAAAGGTAATTAATTTCATATTCGATAATACCGATTGGGATACCGAAATACCGATTGGGATACCGGTATATTTAGGGATTGGGATACCGAAATTATTTAGGGATTGAGATTGAGATTGACTTTAGGATGTAATTCGGTATTCGGGATTTCGGTATTTGGTATTGGGATACCGATACCGATACCGTACCGATTTCCACCCCTAATCCTAATTGTCTCAACTCACATCGTCGGGGGTGGGGTAGGGCACGGAAATGGTTGGTTCGGACTTCGGCAGAGAAGAGGTAGGGTTCTGCGGCGGGCACCGGTACCGGGATCAGGACAATTGCGAGTTCGATTTCAAGAGCCTCGGGAAAGAAGCTTCACAAGATCTGACCAACGCATTGAATTGCCAGAAAAATTATTTAAAAAAAGTTAGAACTTCTTATTATGTGGATTTCTTGTCGAATGGGGAAATTAGAGATGTTATTGTTGTTGTTGCTATCGGAACACTCCGCTTGATGTTAATTGACCGACCGGCGTCGGTGGTGGCTAGTGGTGGTGACTGACGGTGATTATTCGGTGATGAAATAGTTGTTAGTTTTATTTAATTTGCTTTGAATAATGAAGGACAATTTAGGAATTTTTACCGTTTAAGTTAGGACGATAATAGTAAACCCTGGGCGACGTTTAGCCTTCAAAAATTGCTGCATCCATAGCGTTCTTAGGAAGGGCAGTTTGGGGAGTCGGGAAAAGTTATTTCCGGGCAGATCTGCTATAGGTCTTGGTTGGGCCTGATTTGTCTTTTCCAACCCACCTAAGAGAACTGTTCGTCGTCGGAGTCTATCGCTCCTATCTGCTTTCACAACGTTTTTGTTGCCCAATCCATTGGTATTCTGGAATCGCCGCAGCATCCTTCTCCTCTTTGCAGACTCGCAGTGATATTGAAGTGGGTGCTTGATTTTAGCTTGCTGCTAAAACCCGAACCGATAACATAAGAGTCGGATTTTGGGTTTTCGGTTTCAAACCGAAGTGCTATTTAACGTAGGGATGGCAATAAAACCCGAACCCATGGGTACCCACCCGACCCAATCCGGTCAACGCGGGTAAAATCCGTACTGGTTTTGGGCCGGGTTTGGGTTTAAACCCGTTCACTATTCACCGGGTTGGGTTGAGTTTGGGTTTAGGTAAATCCGACCCATGGGTACTCGCCCACCCATATAATTAATTTTCTCGGCATATTTAATATTCTAAACAACTAATCCTATTTATGATTGTGGAGACATGTCTAATTTTTTCTTTCTAGTTATGTAGAATGAAGTTGATGTTATTGAGTGGAGAGTGAAAAACTTAATTGAAAGGAAGAAGTTTCGATTAATCATGTTATTTATGGATAATTTGTGATTTGCTTCAATTTTCTTGAGTTTTTTAGATTGGTGTTGAACAATTTGTGTAGTTAATTTGTGATTTGCTTGAATTTTCTAGAATGATGTTTTATATATGGATAATTTGTATTGAGAGATTGATATTTGACTTTAATTTTTATAGGAATTTGTTATTGTGAATTTTTTACGACAAAAACCCGTGGGTACCTATGAACCCACGGATACCCAGCGGGTTGGGTTGGGTTTGAGTTTTTCAAACCCAGTGGGTTTTACCCCGGATTTTTTTCACGAATAAACCCATGGATTTGGTTTTGAGTTTGGCAAAACCCGACCCAACCCGACCAATTGCCATCCCTAAATGTTTCAGTTTTGATACAACCCGAAAACTGATAAAAACCCGCAAAACCCGAAAGCTGTGACTGGAGTCTCACGGTGACGTTTTGGGTAATTGGACCTCTAGGGTATCTCCTTGGGAATTGCGATTTGCGACAGAGGAGACTGAGAGGAATCGCCGACTGCTCGAGGCTTCGCCGAAACAGAGCCTCCCTTCCCAGCTTCTACCAGTTCAGCTTCTCGCCGCCATCAACGTCCTCGCTGCCAACGGCCTCGAGGGGATCTCCGACATCGCCTTCGTCGTCCTCTCCCTCGCCTACATTTTCGTCATCTCCTGATTCGCCTTCACTCCGCCTCTCAGCAATGCGGCAATCCATCTGGGTTCGAGCCTTCAAGTAGGTTTCTGTAGCCGCCATCTTGCTGCCGGAGAGCAGTACAGATCTTGTGTCAACGACCAGTAGCAAACTTCTCGGAGAGTCAGAGGCAGATCGAAACCTTGAAATTGTCGATTTGCCCAGCAAGACAGCCACCCATCTGCGTTTGATTTTCTTCTTCCCAAATTGCTTCCTGCAGTCTTTTCGTCGGCAAAGCAGAATCAGAACTGAGATTTGCTTCCCTCTCAGTCCTTTCCCGGTAGTGCATGTATCGGGGTTCGGTTTTCGGGTTAAATATGTTTCGGGTTCGGGTAACCCGAACCGACCCGAACTGACAGGCCTACTTGCTGGCTGCTGTCTCCTTTTACTTCGTTTTCCGTCGTCCTCTTCGATCGGTGTTTTTCAGCCGCCAACTATTCTCTTCGGTCCCAAAAATTTCAATCCGTCACCTCCGCTCCGCCGTGCCAACGGTCTCCTCTGATTCCTTTTCGACCTCCGGCGGTTGTGAATTAGGATGGAGGGAGGGGTCCCAGTTGTTAACGGCGACAAGCACAGAGTCGAATGATTTAGTTGCGGCGAAGGTTCGAAGTACTGATTTTTCTCAATCATATGGAAAAAGGAAGTCGCGAGGCAGACGACACTCTGGAAACGGCAAGTGACATCAAAGCCCCCACTCCTTCCTCTCCGCGGTAAATTCAGTTTCCCTTCAAGTTAATCTCAATTTCTAGGGTTTGATTGCTGGGAATCAGACAATGAATTTTTTTTTATGATCACTGATTGTGGAATTCTGTTTTCCTTTCCCCGAATGGTTTTCGACGACTGATTCATTGAATTAAAAATGCTTGAATTTTGTTTCTGAAGCAGGTAGCTCTTGCTACATTTTGTCGCCTTTTTCATGATTTTCTCCACTCACAACAAACGCCACCACAACAAGCCGAAGCTCTATCCAGTCGCTACTGTTGGATTTCAGTATTGAGGATTTGCATAATCTCTTAGATTTCTTTCCCCTGCCCTGGCTGTTTCTATATTTTCGGTTAAGGGTTCTGTTTGGATAATTGTGAATGGCGGTGGCAAACCATTCAGGGGATATATCGGTTCAAAGAGATCTATCTCCAGCGAGGGTCTAGGGTTTGAGAATGGGAATATTGGGGAGGAAGAGCCACTTCCCTTGCAAACAATGTACGGAGTTGAGGTCTCGATGCTCGATTAACTGGTCTCTACAAGTTTTACACGTAATAAGATATTGCTCCTACCATCTTCATTAGCTCCAAAATTACAAATGAAATTTGGGTCCTCCGACCAACTGGTCGGATTAAAGCTAGTTTCTCATAGAATTGCCTCAATTTCTAAAATGAGACATTACCCCAAATTGCCTCATTTTACAAATGTTAAATCCAAACGACCCTTAGCTTCTTTTCCATAATTGTGGGATGGATACAACATGCCCACTTTTTCTAGCATTTTCCAGATCAGACATTGACTTTGTATGAAGCAAAAGGTCTGTGGAGTTAGGTTTTCTTTGGGGGAAATTGGAGTGGTAACATTTGCAGAAGATAAGCAAGCTTGGCGTTGGGAGGAGACAACTCAGGACTTGTCCAGCTCTGTACATTTTTTCAGTTCTAATATTGGCAATGGACATGCCATTCGGGTTTGATGAGTTAGCAGCTTGCTCCTTTTTTTTTTTTTGGTGGAGAGCTTTTGTCCATTGATCTTAGGCTGTCTTCATCATTTCTAATGAATGGCTTTTTTTTTCTTTCTTTCTAATAGGCTTATTGGGTTATTGCGAACTTTGTTTTTTTAATCTGTGAGTGATCCTTGAGGAAGGTGCCTTGAACCAACTAAACAGAATGAAGGATACTAGACAGCTTCTATTTATGTTTTCTCTTGCTGTGAAATGCCGTGTTCACTTTACCCTTTGTTCGAACTCCGGGGCCCTCACTCAACAATAGAAAGGATATGCTTACAGTTTGAATATTACTTTGAATTCTGCATTGATGTAGCTTTGTTGTATGACAAACTTTCTGTTTCTGTAGGAAGAAAGCTCATTCCTCCGAAAGCATTGGGAATCATTGATTATTTAACAAGCAAATGGTTATCCTCATCGGCGTATAGTATTTGACTAGGGTATTCCTCGTATTTTCAAACTCCTTTAGGTGCTCTTTCCTTTTTGCTCTTTATGTGACTTCGCTTGTGACATGCTCTTTGTGAAGCAGGTCTAATGGACAGAACATCTATTAGCTGTCTTGTCAACAGCATCTCTCGGTTCATTCTTCTTGTTTCATGCCAGACAAAGATACATGCAACTATTCAAAATGATTACAGAAGTATGGTTATGGTGCTTAAGTATTTGAAGCCAGTGCTTGATGAAGTTGTTGACCACGATCTAACTTCAACGGAAATACTATATCAAGAGTGTGAAGAGCTTGATGCAGCTGTTAATGAGGCTAGAGAATTCATAGAAAACTGGTCTCCGAAGATGAGCAAGATTCGCAGTGTAAGTTGTTAGTTCTTATAATTTTCGTTGCTCCAAATTCACCCACTGCGAGTTATCGTACAGGTCGAATGGCTATGTTGCCCATGGCTATTCATCATGCTTTCTTTCACATTGCAAACCGATGTTCCTAAGGTCGAATTGGAACTATTTCACCAAACAGTTAGGTGGGGTTGGGGGGGGGGGGGGGGACTTTTTTTGGTTCTGACGTCTGCAACCTCATTCTACCCTTTTGCTGTATACTTTTTCATTTGTAAGTACAAGACATGGAGGGATAGAAAATTAAGCTAAGCCAGACCGCAAATGTGCTACGCTTATTTTCAAGGAAATGAAACTATACTAGATTCTTAGAGCCTGGCCTTTGAGAAAGAGATTCTTAGATTTTTTCCCTTCAAATTTTCAGGTTCAGAAGACCGGGGCTCTTCTGATTGGAATCCAAAGATGTTCGCTGGAGATTTGCCATATATTATGTACACTGTTGCAGTCTTCTCCAATAGATACAGACTTAACTGTCATTCAGGTGTGCGAATGCTTAGTGTCGGTTGCTTACTTCACAGAATAGCTGCCATAGTTGGGCTTCTTATCTATAGTTGTCTCTATCTGTAACATTTGATTATTATCACTCTTACCCGTGAATTTGGAACCCAATCAGCAATTAACTTCAGAAAATTATCTCAGAACTGCATGCAGGAGCTTCAGAGTGTGAAACAAGAATCAATTACGAATTATATAGAAGAGGCTCTAAGAAGTCCAAGAGACGACACTGCTTCTTGCCCTGATCATGTGATGAAAATCATTGGTTCACTTAATCTGAGGACAAACCGTGATCTCCTGAAAGAAAGTGTGGCGTTGGAAAAAGAAAGGATGAATATAGAGGCCAACAGAGACAAAGGGAACTTGGAGCAGGTAAATCAAGTTGTGGATCTCCTGTGTCACATACGTGCCTGTCTGCTTAAAGTTGAGTGCTCTGAACCCGAGAGTGGTGTCAGAATCCCTCCATATTTCCGGTGTCCCTTATCTTTGGAGCTTATGTTGGACCCTGTCATTGTGGCTTCTGGTCAAACTTATGAGAGGAATGCCATCCAGAAATGGCTTGATCATGGGTTGGCGATTTGCCCCAAGACCCGTCAAACACTTTCTCACGCAAATCTCATTCCCAATTATACTGTCAAAGCCATGATAGCAAATTGGTGTCAGGAAAATAGTGTGAAAATTTCTAGCAATTGTGAGCGGGCTAACCTCGCATTGGTCCCATTGCCTTCATCAGATCCTGGTTTATTTCGCTCAGTTAGTGAGAACTGCTCTTTGGATGCCAGCAATGCTTCTTCAGCTGAAGTTAGAAATGGATTTGTGGATCACAAGGTTGATGACATATCTGGGTTCGTTGGACAGGAATCGAATCAAAATGAAAGCTTGAAGAATGGAAATGTAGAATGTCCTTCTCGTGAGCTGCTGTCATATCATATCAGCAGGAGTGCATCAGCTTCGAGTGTTGTTTCTAGTACTGAGTTTGGTCCGCCTTCAAATCAAGTGTCGAGAACATCTTCCAAGCACCATAATGTAAATGAATTCTCAGTAGAAGTCATGACTGAAGTATCTTCTGCTGCTGCTGCTGCTGCTGTTGCTGCTCCCAGTAATGAGTCTGCCAAGATTCAATTCCAAGACCCTAAAAGAAAACCAGAGATTTCAAGCAATGGAAACTGTTGCAGCAGGGTTCATTCTGTTCCATCTGATCTGGTGTCATACGATGATTTAACCACCATATCTCATGTTGAGGAGTTGGTGGAAGATCTCAAAAGAAGTCATTCAGATGAACTACAGACTGCAGTTGCTGCAGAGTTGCGTTTCCTCACCAAACACAACAAAGAGAATCGTGTAATAGTGGCTCAATCTGGTGCTATCCCACCATTACTATCACTTCTATATTCAGAGATACAGCTGACTCAGGAACATGCAGTTACTGCCCTCCTGAACTTATCAATCAATGAAGAGAACAAGACCATGATAGCAGAAGCAGGAGCAATCGAACCTCTGATTCATGTTCTGAACTCGGGGAGTGACACAGCCAAAGAGAACTCTGCAGCTACTCTGTTTAGCCTCTCTGTCCTGGAACAGTACAAGGCAAGAATCGGGCGCTCCGGTGCAGTCAAAGCCTTGGTGAACCTCCTAAGTTCAGGGACTCTTAGAGGGAAGAAGGATGCCGCTACTGCATTATTTAACCTCTCTATCTTTCATGAGAACAAGGCACGCATAGTTCAGGCTGGAGCAGTGAAACATCTCGTGGAGTTGATAGATCCTGCCACTGGGATGGTGGATAAATCGGTTGCTCTTCTTGCAAACTTGTCGACGATTGGGGAAGGCCGTCTAGCGATTGCTAAGGCGGGAGGCATTCCTTTGCTTGTTGAGGTCATTGAGTCAGGATCCCAAAGGGGAAAAGAAAATGCTGCTTCAGTATTGGTGCAACTGTGCCTTA